ATATTTATGTGTTATAAGAGCAGCTGAATTAAGTTAAAAATCACTCTGCAGTAATGAGCACAGCAAGTCTAATTCACAGAGATTTCAAAGTTACTTATTCAAATGGATATGTTTAGATTAGTGGTATCTGCACTGGGCACTGCAGCATAAAATCCCTTACAAGCAGGCCACATTCACAGCTGTCCTGTGATCCATGCCGCCTTAGGGCCAAGGGTTGGACATGCTTATTTTAGACAGACCCCTACAACATCTCTTTGGTTATAACATACAATATTTATGTGTTATAAGAGCAGCTGAATTAAGTTAAAAATAAGTCTTGAAATGCTGAAGGTATGCTGAGCTTGATGGTACATGCTTGTAATCCCAGTAACCTAGTACTTGGGAGGCTGAGGCAGGAAGATCCTGAACTCTAGGCCAGCCTGGGCAACATAGTAAGACCCTGCCCCCCCCCCCAAGTTTAAGGTGTGATTCCATATTCATAGAAAATTATTCAAAATGTGATGCTTATATTATGAATTTGAGTTTTAGGAAGATGGGATGAGACAATAAAGTCTAATCTGGGGCCAGGGGCTGGGGTCGTGGCTGTGCTGAGGTGCCTGGTGTGCACCTGGGTTTGAATCTCTGGCACTCACCTAGGAAGCTGGGCATGGGATTGCACATCTGTAACCCTAGGGCTGGGGAGATGTAAACGGGATCTCTGGAGCTCACTGCCCAGAAAATCTTTATAAATTGATGAGTTCCAGGCTCAGTGAGACCCTGTCTCAGAAAATAAGATGGAAGGGCCAGCAAGACGGCTCAGCAGGTAAAGATGCTTGCCACCAAATGTGATGACCTGAGTTTAACCCCCAGGATGCACGTGGTGGAAGAAGTTGCCCTCTGACCTCCACACATACCCCAGCGTATGTGTGTCACCACCCCACTAAATAAATAAAATGTAATAAAAAATAAGGTGGAGCTTGATAGAGGAGGACATGTGATGTTGACTTCTGGCCTCCACAAGCGTGCGCACACAAACACATATACACCCCATACCTCCCTCCTCCCTCACAAAAAACCCATCTTGAATTCACTTCCAGATACTTTTTCTGCAAGACAGAGAACGGTCATTTTCTTCGCCAAGATTTCGTGGCTTGGCATACCTCTGCATTCCTTAGCTTAATGGACACAATGATATTTATAGTTTTATCTCCATAAGGAAGTACAAGTCGTTTTAGGTCTGTTTCCTAACTTTCAGGTCAGATTTCACACAGCCAAGGACACCAGCATTCCTCTGGCGGTGAGATGGTCAGAATTAGCCACTTAATTGAACTGTTCCCTGAGTGGAAAGTCAGTGGTTCGGACAACATGCTGACTTACGTGAGAACTGAGGCATGCTGCAGGCTTCTGGGAAGTTTCTTCTGTCAAGTTTCTTGGGAGTTAATTGACTGTGGGAAGCACATGAGGGTGCCTTGAACAGGGATCCGCGGTCTCCACCCACCCTAAGAGCCACAAAATGACCTTCCTAGTGCAGTGATTTTTACAAGTGCTCTTTTGATGTTTAGAGATGGTGAATCAAGGTCAGTATTTTGTTCTTTGAGCTTTGGTTTTGTGGCAAGCGGAAAAAGGGACAGTAAGATGACAAAAACGAGACCTACGAGCAACTTGCTGGAACGTCCTCTGGAGACCAAGGCGGTTGTCTTCTATGGGGTTTTGGGCTTTTTCTACTACATCTTTCTGACCCCACCTCTTCCCATTTCCTCTCGGCACCTTTCTGCTTAACTTGTTCTCTGCAGACCCTTTGAGCTGCTCCTGGGCTGTTTTCTGCCCTATCTAGGTGGCGCTTCTCTGGGGACACACGTGTCAGCGCCAACTGAGTTAGCCTGGCTCCAGGACTCGGGTTTCTCGTCCCCCTCCACCTACACGGCAGAGGACCATTCCCACTACCTGGTGTGGGGATGAGCCTTAGGCTCTACCTCTCCCATTTCTGCACAGGTGACACATGGAGGGCGTGTGGCTTGAGTCCTCATGATGACTTAGCTGACGAGCTCTCGGGCAGTTTTGGATCCCCAGAAGTGTAGTACATGAGCCCCTTCTTCTTATAGCCGTTCTCATAGTGTTGTTTATCGATAGGAAGTGACCACCAAGGTCAGGGACTTAGTCACTTTGGTCTGTGTCATGTTTTTAGTCTGTTTTGGGCTTGTCCATGCCCACAGCTGTAGACAGTGGAGATGACAGGAGACCTGGCACCTTCCTAGATGCACAAGCTGAGACTCCAGCTCGGTGCAGACTTGCCCTCCTCCCTGCCTCTTCTTGATCTCCCCCCCTGTGTCCTGTGTGTGGGACTCTGTCTGCACCCTCTCTCAGTCAGCCACGTCTTCTCATTGGTTACAGCATCAGGATGCATTTCCTGGATGTAGCTTTCCTTGACAACCCACAGCTGGGTCAGGCTCTGTCTCTGTGCTCCATTGGCCTGCCAGGTTCCCACCCTCAACACAGGACCCTGTGGTGTGTTGCCGTCTTCTCCCTCGCTAGACCTGAGCACCTCAGGGCAAAGTGCTGCATTCTTTGACGCTGTATCCCCAGTGTCTAGGGACAGTCGCTGGCTGAAATGATTGATAGGCAATAGCTGACCAGTCAGCGAAGCACACCCTGCACTCCACGTTTCCCACAGGATTTCTCAGAAGTCCTCAGGACTGCTGCAGTAGCAGATATTACAGATGATTTTAGAGAGGTGGAAATGAAACTTGAAGGAGGTTAGATTGTCAACATGACTTGGCTACAAATTGGTAGCTAAGGGTTATTATTAGGTTTCATTTCCCAAACACCTGGTGCTTGCTGTGTGCAAGACAGAGTGCAGTATTTGTCTTTCTTGCTATGAACAAGGAAACACAAAAGGATTCCTACTTAGCATAGGGTGAGGAGGAAACACAGGAGAGGGTTCTAACTTAGCACAGGGTGAGGAGCAGCGTGAGTTGCAATGATTCTCGCCAGGCGGTGCAAGAATGGAAAGAAAGATGGTTTGAGCAATGGCGGCTGGAGGCTGAGAAGAGCCAGGGCTGGGGCCGCTGGGAGGAGAGGCCACAGATACAAGGCCTGCTGGGCCAGTTGAGCAATGGCGGCTGGAGGCTGAGAAGAGCCAGGGCTGGGGCCGCTGGGAAGAGAGGCCACAGATACAAGGCCTGGTGGAGCCAGTGTGGCTGGCACAGGGACTTGAGGAGGATACTACATTTTGCTTTGCAAATACTGATGTAGAGCTGGATGTGGTGGGCATACCCTGGAATGCCCACACTTGGTCAGCTGAGACAGGCAGACTGCATGTTTAAGACCAGCCTGGGTCTTAAACAGGGTCTTAAATCCTATCTCAGAAACAAAACCAACCAAACGAAAACAAGTTAAAACCAAAAATTATAAAGAACTAACTAACCCAATGAGCAGTAAGGACAACTAAACTCCTTAGCAGGTGGATCTGCCTGACAGGGAGGGAGGCACAGAGCAGGTCCTGTAGGAGGAGTAACAGGCTCACCTGCCTTCTGGGTTGGGTTAGTACCCAGGCTGAGCAAAGACAATGGGGCCTGGTTTTAGAAAATCTCCCAGCAGCCTGCCATGCAGCACGTGAGCAGTGGGATGAGCCAGGGACAATGGGCAAATGACATTGGACCTCAGCATCAGGGTCACAGTGCAGCCTAGGAGCCACTGAGGGTCAACTGGCCCTGACCACAGTGGGCAGCTGTGCTTTGTGCCAGCCAAGTGCTGTCTTGGGAATGTGAGCTCCTTGTGCTAAACGAGCCAAGTTATTCAGAGAATCAGAGATCTGAACTGCTGTGCCAGATTCTTTGATTTTCAAATGTTGCCTCAACTCTTAAAAACTCTGACCATGGATAGACAGAAGGCATGGGCGGCGGCCAGCCTGAAGCATCTGCTAAAAACCCTTGGGTGCCTGGGTAAAGGACACTCAGTGATGTAGGATGTGTGTTAACCATTTAGCCTCCAGTCTGGTCCATAGGCAATAGCCAGGCAATTCCTAACTGTCAGTTGCATTGTTGATGTGTCTATTTCACCATTAATCTTTACCATTGATTTGTTTAGTTGCCTCTGAATCTGTATTAAAAGATAAATTATAGCTGACTGAATAATTAATGGTGGCAGTGGTTGCTGCTTGCCTGTGGAGTTGCTTTTAGTTTGGGGCATTCTGTATTCACATTACAAAAGGCAATTTAGTGGAATTCATGCTAAAATAAATAGGAAGGACTGACGGTTGGTAGTCTCGGAGTCCTCCTGCATTCAGTGTCGGCTCCCGCTGTCCACTGTCTGTGACCCCCTTGCTGTTCTGTCTCACATCATCTCCCTCACATCCATGTGCCGCTGCCCCACCTCCCTCTCTTGTTCTTGTGCCTGGCTCTCTTGGTTGCATTCCTCCTGGGCCGTGCTAGCTCCGTGTATAAGTGGGAAGAACTGGGGCATAAATAACATCCTGGACCACATGAAGAATGATGGGAAATTCCGCTTTACAAAAGGATCCTGTGTTTAGAAGCTTTTCATCAGTTGTAATGAGATACAAATGTGCCCAAAGCAAGTTACTTCATCTTAGAGAGAATCTTCATTTAACATGGCTTAACTTCTACAGTTTTGTGTTGCAAGAGTCATGGTTGGTGTGCGTAGTCTGTTGGCGATAGTCTTGGGGAATTTTATTCAGTACAAGCATCTCTGATGGTCCTGGCAGCAAGTTAGGTTAATTATTTGTTCATGTCCTCTTCATTCTTGTTAAGATTCTGGAACGTCATGGAGAGTAACAAAACAGACTTGAATATTTCCGATAGATTAAAGGCTTATAAAAACAGCCCCTCCCCCGCTAGCTTTTTCATTTTTTTGCATTGTTTTAAGATGAGATCATTTTGTTGTGTCAGCATGAAGCTAGAAACATGAAAATAAGCCTGTGTGTGCATGTGTGTGTGTGTAAAAAGCTTATTTGTAAATGTGAGCTCTTAATTGAGTCATTACTTTTCTCTTAATGTTTTATTCAGATCATGGAGGAGACAAACACGCAGATTGCTTGGCCGTCCAAACTGAAGATCGGAGCGAAATCCAAGAAAGGTAAACCGGGGGTCTGGAAGACGGGAGCAGGCGCTCAGCACCCGGGACTGTGGAGTTACTGTGGGTCACTGCTGGAAGGAGACCAGCCTTTATTCTTTTCATTTTTGTCCCCAAATACTTGCCACATAGTGATGTGTGGAGGATTCTCATGATTAAAATAAATGTACAGTGTTGCAATAACAGAAAGATGTTTTAACTATTAATATTAGAATTAAAATGTTACTATAAAAGATTTTACAGTAACCTATGTTCACAAGGATGCTGTTAACTCAGTGTCCATGAGGAATGTGGTTCTGTGGAGTCAGGTGTTCCACGTGAGTTCCCGCTTCACAGATATTAGAGTTCTTGTTGATATGACCTAGATTTAAGACCTGTCTTCAATTGCTCCGTCAATGTGATATGAAAACTCATGGACTAGAGAGGTGGCTCGGTGCTGCTCTTGCAGAGAACCTGGGTTCGGTTGCTAGTACCCATGTGGCATCTAACAACTTGTAACTCCAGTTCCAAGAGATCCAAATGCCCTCTTCCGACTTCTGCAGGCAGTGCATGCATGTAGTATACATACATACATGTAGGCAAATGCTTATACATATAAAGATAAATGTGATATGAACCTTAGATTTTCTTTCTCAAGTCCTATTTGAAAGCATTAGGCCTACGAGATTTTAGACTGGGTGTGTCTCCTGCTTGGCTGTTCTCTGCCTCCTGATAGGAAAGCTTTCTGTGTAGATGCTTAGACATGTAAGGAGAGCAGCCTCTTTTCTTTAAGATGATGTGTTTTCAAATGTGACTTTCCAGTATTCAGTTTTAAAAACATTTAATTTTCTGTGTATGAATGTATTGCCTACAAGTAAGTGCACCCATGTTGTGCAATACCCAAGGAGGTCAGAAGAGGGTGTCAGATCCCCTGGAACTGGAGTTATGGACGATTGTCAGCCATCGTGTGGGTCCTGGGATTTGAACCCCGGTCTTCTGCAAGAACAACCAGTGCTCTTAACCACTGAGTCATCTCTACAGCCCTTTTAATCTCATTTTTTTTTAATATTCTCCTTTTATTGAATTAAATAATACAGAGGCTTTGTGTGTGTGTGTGTGCGTGTTAGTCAGACTTTGACATGCCTGCAGGAACTTTGATCTTGTTACTTGTATATGTATCTCATGGTGTCAAGGAATCCAGAGCTTTTGTGCTAACAGTCTTAAAGGACATGTAGTTAGTTCCCGATCATTCTATGCCAAAGAGCATGTTCTTAATTAATTTTGAGTATTTTTGACATGTGTTGGGACATTGTGTACTTACTATGCAGAAGAAGAACCTGTCATTAGTGGATTATCTATTCGTTCAATTTTGTTTTAAAAAAATCCTGTTTATTAGATGGGTAAATTGAAACTTGAACATAAACTGGACCCTCCTTCTCTGTTGTCTGATATTTTTACATAAGTGAAATGAACTTCATTTCTTGCTTAATAAAAATGAAATTTTACCAGTCCCCAAAGGAAACCTCACGACAATACGGTTAGAAGAGTTCGAGGTAATTTTGTATGGCTTTCCATTGTCCTGTCGGTCGTAGCTTTTCTCTCCATCATTATGAGAAGCAGAGTTGATTAATTTCTTTTTGCTCAAAATGTGGTTTCAACATTAGAGATTTTAGCTGTGGGAACGAGGAGAAAAGGCTCATGTTTCAGGAATGGCTTCCGTCACTGACACACTCATCGTGCTCAGAGCCCAGTCACTCTCCACATTCTGATGACTTATTTTGCTTGGAAATAGGGGAGTTTCAGCAGCTCTTTCCAGGCATTTGGGATAATTTTCACCTGGTTAAAGTTAACCTTTGGAATTAGGCCTAAGAATTTGTCTCTGTAGGCTCAGGACTAACAGACTTCATTTTATTTTTTATTATTTATGAAGTGTTCTGAATCTGCACAATGAGCAGAATGTCCCAGAAAGAGCTCAAGGAAAAAAGACGCAAAAGCGTCCTCCAAGGAATTTACTGTTCAGAGTTTACTTGATTGCTGTTATTTAAACACACAGTTGCTGAGTCAGCTCTTGGCCTAACCTGCCCCCCCCCATATACACACACACATGCACACACAATGGAATATACACACATGTTCATTTTAAATGGTTAAATTCAGAGACGAAGTTGCTTGAGTATAGTTTGTAGTTAGTACAATTAAAATTAAGTAGCAGGAGGGACTTTGGAAGGTGAGTTGCTCATCTCGCTGTCTCTTGCCTCTTCTGTGTGTTGTAGAAGAAGAAGCTATTGGTCTTTAAAGCCTTCATTTCCGACTGACATTGTTCAAGAGACTAAAGTGTGTCCATGGACCTATGCCATATGCCAGATGATTATTAAATTCTAAATCCCCTGTTGATGTGATGGTTTGGGGTATGTAGGTAACCCCAGAGTGTGCTGAGAGGCAACCCAGCCTTGGGTTTGCACACTCTACTCCAGCTTTTACAGTATATCCGGGTTGAACATCTGGGGCTGGACAAATGTTTTTCACGAACACTGTCACCACAGTCCACCCCTTCTAACCTTATTGGAATTTAGTCCTGTGATTTTCAAATTGGCTTCCAGTAATTCTGTCTAAATTCCCTGTTTAAAACTCTTCATCCTCTCCCAGAATGGCCTTCCTGGGTGCAAATACCTTGGTGGAAGTGCTGGTCATTGCCGCCTGGCAGACAGGCAGAGAGCCCAAGCTTGAGTTTTCTGTGAGTTAGGAAATTCAGATTCTTCTCTAGAGATTCTGGCTCAGTAGTTTGAGGTGGGGGAGGGATTTGTGTATTTGACAAGCTCCTCTGGCTGTTGTTAAGGTCAATCAGAATTTAGGAAACAAATTCATGATTTGATGTAAAGGTCACCGCCAGTGTGTGAGGTCAGAAGGCTCTAGGTGATGACCATGGCTGATAACCAGGTGAGACCCATGCACAGCCACGTGTGGCCGATGTCCATCTTGGCTGAGGGCTGCTTAGCTGTCATCCCTCCTACACTTCTGGCATCTTCGTGGTCCGTTAACATGATAAGTGTGGAATGGTGATAATCTTGATATTCTGGGCCTGTGCTAAATATGGTTTCCAGCAAAAGGACACCAGCATGCGGCCTCCTGTCTCTGCTGGCCTCTTTCCCCTCTGTACTGCCTTGTCCTGCTTTCCCGCCTTCCTCTTCCGGCCTCTTCCAGTTCCCTTTGACCATATGCTAAATAGAGCCAGAATGTAAGAAAAAAAAAACAACAGAATTATTTTCATGCATATCTTTTGCAGGGTATTTTAGGTAAGTGCATATCTTTTTCATAGAATGAAGAATATAGAATTTTAAAATAATCCCTACAGTGTTTGGGTTATTGGAAGGCTGACGGCTCATTTAAGCGAGGAAGAATAAAGAATTTAAGATTCAAAACAATAGGCATTTGAACATGTGACTCTGAGACACTCGAAATCGTGATTAAGAAAAATAAAGCAATATTTAATGTTTCTTCTGTATAATGTCAGTTCATTTTATGTGGGGGAAAATAAAACTGAAGCTCTTGAAGTCAGGAGAGTTTGCAGAGAAGTTTGAGGTTTGTGCTAGTGAAACCAGTATTTAAGGATTAAAGTGTTTAAAACTATAAAATTTTACTAACCTGGAATAACTTCAGGCACTCTTGAAATTGTTGAGTATGCTTTTCTGAGCTACAGCTATTTTTAAATGAAATCTAACTTCATTAAAATATGAACAACATTTTGAACAAGTTTGACTCATTTGCCAAATAGAATTTGTGCCAGAACTGCTCTAACAGATAGATAAAAGTGATTTGTAATGAGAGTTTATCACAATGGGATGATTGTACTGTGAACAGAGCTAAGTCTGTCCCCTAAATTAGGTAAATATTTTCTTACAGTTGCCCTTTTACTAAGGGATTCATCAATCTCTTCTAGACTGGTGGAGCCGAGTGCGGATTGGAATCAGAGTTTTCATGTCCTGTTGCAGATGCAGGGATCGACATTGATGAAGTTCTCTTGCAGAGTTAGACAAAGTGATAGAAACTGGCCTCCCCAGTGGTGCTCACAGGACTGTTTGGGATGCTCTAGTCCCTTCGTGGGTGCCTGGAAGTCTCTGGATTGCCGAATGTGTATCCTGATTTGGAAGCAGTCTGGGATCACACTTGGCTGTGCTCTTCCTCCCCAAAGAAACAAGGGAAGCATCAGAACTGCATGAGATTTTGTTATGTGCGTTGCATTCCATCAGAACAAATAGATACCTAATAAGTCGTCCTGGCCTGAGAAAAACCACGCGTCCTTTATTGTTTCCGGGAAAAGTGTACATAGCAGACCAGCTGGTGGTGCAATGCTCAGAGAGGAAACAAATATGTGACCTGGCATGCTGGGCCAAAGTATTTCCAGTAGGGACCTATGACCTGTTAGTGTGTCAAAGGTTACTTTAGTGAGTCACAACTAGCACTAAAATACCCAGTTGAAATTAGAAAACAATGTGAGGGTACTGTTTGGTGAAACACTCAGTCCTGTGTCTGTGCTGTGTTTTGCATTTCACCAGCTAAGCATCTCCCCAGCTCCCAGCCTGACTTTTCTTAGAGCCCCAAGTCCTAGCTGCTCTACTTGACCATCTTTCTACACCCACACCTGGGTGAGAAGATGCCGGTCTGGTTCCTTTCCTTAGTCCGGAGTGTTCTGTGGTGCTGCCCACCAGTCACCATTGCCGAGAATAACAGATGATAATCACACCAGTTTTATCACACCACAGACCTTGGAATTTCTGGGGGTTGGAGGTGGGTTGAAGATAGCACATCCTCTTCTTACAGATAATACCTGTATTTTTAGAGTTTATGGTTAAAAACCATGAAACTTCTCAGAGCTGGGGGATGTTGCCTTTGAATTTCAATTTGATATTTCATATGTTACTCCTCTAGGAAGAGACTTTTTAATTATCCTTAAGCTAAACAACTTCAAAAAGCTGGATTTTGAAGGAAAATAAGCTTAGATAATAAGCAGCCTAGAAAGGTTTTAT